GTTCTGGTAAGGTAGAGAGAATGAATAGAACTATTAAGAATCAGTTAGCTAAAATGTGTCAGGAAACCCAACTTAAGTGGAACGTTCTCTTGCCCATAGCTCTATTGCGAATCCGTAGTACACCTACCAGAAGGATGGGCCTCTCTCCTTTGAAATCATGTACGGGCGACCACCTCCCGTGCTTGGTAACTTAAGGGGGGATTTGAGTCAGTTGGGAGAAGGAATTACCCGGCAGCAGGTTGTAGAGTTGGGTAAGACTATGGAGGAGGTACAGAAATGGGTACAAGATAGATTACCTGTGAATATTTATCCCCCAATCCATAGTTACCACCCAGGCGACCAAGTGTGGATTAAAGAGTGGAATAATGTGCCGTTAGGGCCCAAGTGGAGAGGTCCTTATGTTGTTCTTCTGTCTACCCCTACAGCGATAAAAGTAGCCGAAGTGGCTCCGTGGATACATCACTCCAGGTTTAAACCAGCAGCAGCCGATTCCTGGCAAGTTACAGCAAATCCAGAGAATCCCTGCAAGATCCGGTTAAAACGCACGACTCAGTCGGAGTGACGAGGAACCTTGTAGATTACAAATTTTATTGTTTCAGAGACTTGGTAAGTGAGTGAGAAGGCCATAATAAAGCCTGTCCACTCCCCAACGAGTGTATAAGTCAGGGAAAGTCTTGAGGGGACCCCTGTGAAGACGAGCAGAACTCCATTCCCTGCAGTCCTTACATCCTGGAAGCTGAGGTGCCTTCACACGGACGAAGACTGAGGATGACGACGAAAGATGTATTTTTAATAATGTTTATTTATGTGTATTCTTATATTCAGGAAGGTAGAGGTACCAACACTCCTAGCTGTGAGGTATGCATTAAGACTACAAGAACAGGTAACCATATATCCCAGACCCTAATTTGGCATTCGCAATATGTGTGTAAAGGAGATGTATCAAGATGTAGATACTTAAATATAGAATATAGTGTGTGTCATTTAGGAGTAGGAGAACCTAAGTGCTTCAGTCCTGAGTATCAACCCCATACAATTTGGTTGACTCTCAGAAATGGAGATTCTCAGGGGACCCTAATTAATAAGACGGTATTAAAATCCGTATATTCTTCAGGTGCTCTGCTATTTGATGCGTGTAAAGCAATATCAAGTGGTAGAAAGTCGTGGAATGTATGTGGGGATCTTAGATGGGAGAGGACGTATGGGTCTAACGATAAATATATTTGTCCCAGTAGTAAAAATAAATATGTAAGTCCAAGATGCCCAAATAGAGATTATAACTTCTGCCCATATTGGTCTTGTGTGGGGTGGGCGACTTGGGGACAGACAGCAGACAAGGACATGATTGTGACTAAGTTGCCTACTAATTCATATTGTAAGTCTATGGAATGCAATCCAATCCATATACTTATAAATAACCCTGACAAGTTCTTAGATAAATATGGTAATTTATTTGGGTTTCAAATATATGGGACGGGTTTAGACCCTGGGACAATATTGTTTATAGGGATAGAGACTGATACGGTAACCTCCAAAACTCATCAAGTATACCATTCCTTTTATGAAGAGATGAGCATAGATAATAAGATCCCCCATAATGCTAAAAACTTGTTCATTGATTTAGCCGAGAGTATTGCCGGTAGTCTTAATGTCACCAACTGCTATGTGTGTGGAGGTACTAACATGGGAGACCAATGGCCTTGGGAAGCAAAGGAGGTAATGTCCGGTTCTGAGGCAGTTGACCAATTAATATCTACACAAGCCGACTATCATATGAGTGTTAGAGGTAAACCTGAGTGGAGATTGAAGACCTCCATCATAGGTTATGTTTGCATAGCGAGGAAAGGAATGATGTATAATACTTCTGTAGGAGAATTAACTTGTCTAGGGCAAAAGCTTATGATGATGATACAAAGAATACAACTTGGTGGTCGGCTTCAAATGTCTCAGAACCATCTAACCCGTTTGCAAGATATGCCAATTTAAAGGATGTATGGTTTGATCTATCCATCACATCTAACTGGAGAGCCCCAGCGAATTTGTACTGGATCTGTGGTAAGAAGGCCTATTCGGAGTTACCACAGGACTGGGAAGGGGCATGTGTGTTGGGTATGTTAAAACCATCCTTCTTCTTGCTGCCTATTGAAACAGGTGAGACTTTAGGTGTTAAAGTGTATGATGTGAATCATAGGAAGAAAAGGGGACCCATAGAGATAGGTGCCTGGGAAGATAATGAATGGCCTCCC